ATAAGATATAGATCAGAGTTAACAAAGTTATGTAAATATTATATTATTTGTATACCAGTATTTATCAACATCAGTTCTTTTTTCCTGTTTTTCTTATTATTATTATTGAGTTTCGATACAATTAATTTTTATTTGGTACATGAAATATCTAAAAATAATTTCAAAAGAAGTATCAAAGATCTAAATTAGGATACAAGTCGTCTCCAAGATAACGTAAGATATTTTCCTAATAGTTCCATAAAATTCTTTAAAATTAAAAAATTTTAAGATGAAAACTTTATATATAAATCAATAAATAAAAGAAGGGCTACGAATCAATTAAAATATAAAGAATATTTAATATTCGTACAAACGTTATGGCTTACTTTTGTCTACTATGTACGATTTAGTTAATTTTGCGTTTTTCTCTCAACGTTTGACTCACTTCATTACGACAAATCAAGATTGTAGATTTTAAAAAATAAGTTTAAAAAATAAGATGAGATCACTTTTATATTAGTCAAATGATTCTAATTTTACATATGGACCACACACATCAAATAATAGGGAATACAGAAATAACGATACGTTTCATTGGATACTGTAATCTGACCGAATACTTAGACAACTTATGTAATGTTATTTTTACATTGAAAATGACCCGATCGGCGTCGAAACGTTTATATGAATATTAAATATTCTTTATATTTTAATTGACTCGTAGCCCTTCTTTTATTTATTGATTTATTCTTATTGAGCCATATTAATAATTTATTTTTTATATATAAAATTTTAATGTGCGAGTGTTAGACGATTCCAATCATAATATACTGAAGAGATACGTAAAAATATGATTAACGCACATCATTAAAAATAAATGAAAATCATTTCATAAACAATTTCGAATATTATCAAGCTCATTTTGAGAAACATGTAACAGTATTATAACAATTCCGGTATCGAAAATATTTAATTATCTGTTGAACTTTATTTCTTCAATAAGATAACAATGTGAACTGCTTTACATAGCGATAAATTTGAAAATCTCGTTTTAATATTCGTCTATTTACAAATATACGCTAAAAAATTCTACAATATTATATTATGCGTAATGTGTATGTTTGTAAAAAAGGGCTCAGATCTTTTTAACATTAACTTTACAATTTTAATGTTTTACTAAAGATGTCACAGAAAACCTTACTGATAAAATATTATTTAAATTTTCAATAATAATAAATTTGATGTAAAAACAATAGTTCAACATAAATAAAAAATTTAATTCAAGTTTCAGAGTATGAATGCGACATAGGTATTATAATGATCATTGCAAGTCTTTTATACATGATCATTTTCCAGCAAAAATCTAATCAACTGAATGCGATATATATTCCTCTCGACATAAGAATCCTATAACATCTCTTTTAAAACATGTTCAGAATAATTAAATAAATATGAACACTTTTATGAACTACTTTTACTGCATTATTCCAGTTAGGATAGACACTTGCTTATAGACGAATACATTGGTCAATTCGCAATCATTTTTTTTTCTGAATTTTATGAATACAGAATATATAATAATATTCATTCACATAAGTGCATAATATTTCTTACACAATTATAAAAATGTAAAATAATTTTTTGAAAATATCTCAATAATGACCAACGCTATCGTTAAAAATTTAACAATTAGCGCAAGTTGTTTGTTGTTATTCTAAAGAGTTTGTAATGTAATATTCTTTTTCTTAATGTTATACAAATAATAATGACTTGGATTAAGCACTGATAATGACCTGTGAACTAACTAGAATAGTTAGATTTTTTTTGTATAAAATTTAGTCAACTATTTTATAATCTAATCTTATATATCTTATTTTTATTCTTATTCGCTTTAAAATCATGATTAACAAAAAAAATAATTGCGAAAAATATGTATCATTAAAATAATATCATTAATAATTAAATTAATTAGAAACTAATATATTATAATCTACACAATATGAGTGACTAATAATATTATATCCAATACTGTTATTATAATATGACAAGATAAAATTACTTTTTTCCTTCCGTATTCCATTTTAGAAAGTAGAAAAAAACAATTATAATCATTATTAAATGAAAATCTTAATGACAAACAAATTTTGAAATAAAGCAAAAACTTAATGCAAGATTACCATTTGTAATGCAATGTTTCAATCGATAATAAATTAACAAATTTATAGACGATTGTAAAATACAAAAATAGTTGGAAATAATTGAAAAAGATACAATATAAGGAATAAATAACAGTTAATGAACAATTTATATATTTATCTCTTATTTATAATTCATTGCTGAATTTTGAAATATCTTTCTGAAATTGTTATATTAAAATTTTATGTTGAAAGAGGAAATTTAAAATGATGCATTAAAATCTCAATAGTGTCGAACTTGCTTACATAATAATAACAGTATTATCAAATCGCGATAATGTATTTTGATATTAACCGCAATGTATTTTCTAAAAAAGTATATAGATAAACATAAAGTCTTATCTTGGAGTAATATCGATGCCTCTTTTGTTAAGGAAGGTAAAGCGATTGATTCTATGCTTTAGAATCGATTGCAAAATGTTGTTTTGTTGTAACATTCGATTACTCTTCAATGGAACTGCAACAGAACTACAATTAGGTACTATAATTCTGTTTGCGTTGCTTGAAATCCCTAAAAATTTTTAAACTTAAAATGAAATAGATATTTGGATGTTGAAAAGAGAGAAAGCGAAGATGCTGAGTGCAAAAAGTACAAACAATGCGAATAGACCTATTGCATACTTTAGATAATATATCTTTGTTATTCAAACCACTTTTCGAATTATTCGGTTTTGTTTAATGATAATTTCATAATTATATTCAAATTTTATTCTTAATATATATATATATAAATTTAATATATATATATATATAAAATTAATTTTAAATTGCTAACATTCTTTCTTTGTGCATATATACATATATCTACATTATTGTACAAGATAAAAATATCAGCAATTTAAAATTAATTTAAGTGCTAATTCTAGTCTTCATATTTCTGAAAATACTCTTCCATTGTTGCATTTGGTACCTACATGTAAAACAAAAAGTTAATTTAAAAATTTAACTTTTTTTTTAAATTTAATATTTATGATTACGTCATTTATTAAACAATTGTTAATAATAGAAATTTATTATCTGTTTCTATATACTTTCTATGAGCGTTTAAATTGTATTTTATCAATTTGACATACGTCACCAGTTAAAGATTAATGACTGAATAATGATTAGAAACTGGATATAAGAAAACGTACATAGTCTTCATCTGTGATAACAATAAATTGTGTTATTTTACCAATTTAAACAAATAAAAAATGATCTTATCGTTTCCGAATCACATGCTTGGGATATGCATTCAAGACCATTCAAGTTCTTGTTAATAGCAGTCATACTAGTATTTTCTTCTTTCGTGAAATATATTTGTCCTATTATTAATTAATGGCATCGAAATAAAAAGCAGAAAGATGCACAGTCATATTGAATCGTGAAAAGCGAGAAATAACACGTTAGTTTTTATTACGTGCCATTTGTAAGTAAAAACAATTTGAATAAAATGAAATGATAAGATCGCTTTAAAACAATTGTAAAAATGGACGAAAACTATCCTTATCCCCTCTGACAGTCAGTACATAATCACTAGATAAAGTGATAAAAGGCACGTATATAAGTGAAAATATGTTACACTATGCGCGTTAAATAAAAGCACTTCACGTGCTATTTATTGACTCTCAGGGGAAATAAGTATATAGTTTTCGTCCATTTTTATAAATTTTAAAGCGATCTCATCATTTCGTTTTATTCAAATTATTTTTATTTACAAATGGCACGTAACAAAAATTAATTATTAATGTGTCATTTCTCATTTCCGACGTCACGATTCAATATGGCTGCAGTAACTACTTAGGAGTCTTAATAATAGTGGATTAATAATAATGAATAATTATAACACAAAATATAGGGCAAATTATATGTCCTTATATGACTTTATGGAATTTTGACATCTGTGTTATGCACTATATATATATATATATATATAAATGTAATTTAATTAACTATAACATTTTACAACTTGATACAATTTAATAGATATAAGAAGAATTTCTTATCATCATTTTCATAGTTTTCATCATTTGTGTAGTCTTTATCAGTCCTATATTTTATTTTATCGTACTTGTAATTAATTAGACTATTCGTCATATTAATAACTATATTTTTATTTAAACATAATTATATTAAACAATGACATTTTACATTTGATCTCATTTAAGATACAGGATAAATTTTTCCTGTATCTTAAATTTATTCTGTATCTTAAATGAGATCAAATGTAAAATGTCATTGTTTAATATAATTATGTTTGAATAAAAATATAGTTATTAATATGACGAATAGTCTAATTAATTACAAGTACGATAAAATAAAATATAAGACTGATAAAGACTACAGAAATGATGAAAATTATGAAAATGATGACAAGAAATTCTTCTTATATCTATTAAATTGTATCAAGTTGCAAAATGCTATAGTCAATTAAATTACATTTCGACAAAAACAATCATCAATGTAATGAATTGCTCGTTATTAAAAAAACATGTTAAAATATGAAACGAATACATGAGCATAAAACAAATTAATGAGAACGAGGAATGACATATAACGAATAATATCACATCACGAAAAAAGTTCTTTTGACAATGACATCTATTAAAAGTAGGAAAAAAGTCAATAAAATAAATACCGTGCTATTTGACGTTAAGGCTTGTATTACGTTTGTCGTATGACAAATGTAATATTAATCTAAGATACTAAGTATTAAAAAAACAAAAATTTTGTAAAAAATTTGAATCAAAGAGAAATTATTTAAATTAAAAAGGATTAAACAACATATCTGCAGAACTTACCGAAAAATTGATCATATAAGAGTATTTGTTAAGTTTCTGTTCCCAATTCAGATAAATAGCAAAAATGTCTCTCTGTTCAGATGAAAATGCATTTATTTATAGATTAGCAAAATGAAACTTGGTCACATTCAATCAGTATTATGTGATTCTAATGTTAATTAAAACGGCATATCTTCATCTATATCTTCATCGAAAAGTGACTGTGTTCCTGAATATAATCAATCGTCTCCTGCTAAGAATTTCAAGAAATATATTTATCATCTATAGTTTACGTTCAAGATAAATAAGTAACGTTATTATAATGGCTACGGGCTTCGTGCTTCGATGAATGCTCATGCAATGCGAACTCCTGCACCGAACCACACTCAAAGCCTGGACAATACATGCAGATGTAACGTTCCGGATTCTCCGAGATCTGCTGCATTGTGTTCACAGTCACGAGCATAACATTATCCGTGTTCGTTGGTATTAGGTTGGTGGAATGCAATTGATAAGACATGTCTCTCTTGGATATTACGTAATGCATAACATTATTGCCAATATTCAATTGTTGCCGCTGCTGCAGCTGTTGATGCTGCTGCAGCTGTTGATGCTGCTGCAGCTGTTGATGCTGCTGCAGCTGTTGATGCTGCTGCAGCTGTTGATGCTGCTGATGTTGCAACTGTTGTTGTTGTAATTGCAACTGCAATTGTAAATGTCGTTGTACTTGTTGCTGCTGTTGCGGTTGCTGTTGTTGCACCTGTTGCAGTTGTGGCTGCTCTAACTGTTGTTGGATTTGCTGTTGTTTCTGCTGATGCGCCAATTGTTGCAAGTGCTGCGGCTTTTGTTGTTGCTGCATCTGTTGCAGTTGTTGTGGCTGCTGTAACTGTTGTTGGATTTGCTGTTGTTTCTGCTGATGCGCCAATTGTTGCAATTGCTGCGGCTTTTGTTGTTGCTGCATTTGTTGCAGTTGTTGTGGCTGCTGTAACTGTTGTTGGATTTCATGTTGTTTCTGTTGATGCACCAGTTGTGGATGTTGTAGTTGCTGCGATTGTTGTTGCATTTGATGCGGTTGTTGTAAATGCAGTTGCCGTTGTTGCATTTGATGCGGTTGTTGTAAATGCAGTTGCTGTTGTTGTAAATATAGTGGTGGCGGTAGTTTGGACGTTTGATAAGTTTGTAAGAATGGTCTGACAGCTACGGTGCCAGTACTCTGCTGCTGTTGAGCAGATTGGATTGACTTGTTTAACGGATAGGTGACAAGAGGCGGCAAGTTTTGATGATAGGCAGTCTTTTGCGAGATTTGCTGCGAAGTAGCACCGATATTGTTTAACAAAGGAGACGTCGTTTCTCGATATAACGTTTCTTTCAATTTTGATGCTTCTACGTTCGCGTTATATTTGACCGAACGCAATGGCTTCACGCCGATCACTTGATATTGTCGAGATTTGGCTGAGACTACTTTAGATGTATTTGGATACGTGGTGACGGATGGAGTTATTGCGGAAGAGAGGGAACGATCTTGACTTGATGTCGTGGGCATGGCTACTTGAGGGTTGAACATCGGTTTAGCTGGCCAGACTTGTATATTGCCGGACGAAGTTACTTGATCATCTTTCTTGTTTTGGTGAGGCAACTGAATGTGTGTTAGCATATGTGTCCTCAATTTCTGCCGACATTCGAATGACATGCCACATATTTGACATAAAGATTTCTCCGGTGAAGTATTTGTTAGCTCTGCCAAGGACTTCACGCGTAAGAAAGCCTTAGGCACATAACTCATGGCGTTTTTCGGTAACGATTCTTTGGGGTCTTCTATCGAAGAATTCGCCACTGACGACACCGAGCGATCTACACAATTTTTGACAGTATTGTTATCCTTCAAAACGCTCGAATTTGTCTTCAGCTGCGTGTTCTCGGATTCTATCGGAGTTATGACACTAATTCGGGAATTTGTACTTTCTTTTACATAGCTCGAAGTCTTCGCAGATGATGCGATCGGAGCTGCATCTTTGGAACACCTCATTTGTCCATCAATGGCAGAATCGGACGTCGTTGATTTCGTGTTTTGTGACATAGTGGAAGGCATACTGTCAACATTTCTTTTGATCTCACTCGATTCTGAACTTTCTTCACTGTCCGACAACACTATCGTTAAGTCCTCATCCGAGTCATCATCAAGATTCCCCGATTTATCATTGCTATTTGGTTCAGATTGCGCGACTGCGACAAGAGAATTGGACGAGGGAACTTGTACCGGAACCTCCGGGACATTTCTGGTTGCTTGTGCTTCTTTATTGGAATGTACTGATGACTGCGTAGATCGATTCTCACTCATGAGATTTTTTACCAGTAAGCGAGTCGATTTTTGTGATTCGCGTGATTTATCATTCACAGTTTTATCAACGAAATCTTTCTTACTGTCGAAATAACTCAAATTCATATAAGGTAATTCGTTTATGGTAGTGTCTCTTTGCGAATTTATGTTGGAGTTCTGATAACTAACGTCACGATAGATTACCTCGCATGTGATCGGCACCTGCTTCTTCTCGTTGTTCCTATGCACGAGCGCGTGCTTCTGAAATAGTTCGACACTAAGGAAATAATTACGGCAGAGAGAGCATATATATTCCGCCCGCAGCTCACTGTGAGTCTGCCAATGTTCTTTGAAGGTCTGCAAACATTGCCACATGGTAGTGCATACCTTGCAGATATATACTTTCGTTACGGCGGTAACAGCTACGCAAGTATAATGCAAATGTAACTCCCTCTTCTGCGTATGCTCCAACGAATGCAGCTCAAAAGACATCCTGCTGTAAAACGTCTTGCTACAGAATCCGCATATTAGCAAAATTGGTATTTTGCTGGGGGTGATCGAAGTCGTGCTCCTGCCATCCGAAAATTCGATACGAGGCTCGACGTTATGGCTTTCGCAAATCGCCTTGTGTGATTTCAGATCTTGTTCATAGATAAAAGGCATTCTACAATGTTGGCACACATAATCGGCTATTTGCATATAAAGAAGCTCTATCGGTATATCTGTCGCTGGTATCTTGACAAGTTTTGAGTTAATGTATGAAGGCCTTGGAAACGAGAGACGACTAGCCAGGAATAACGAGTTCTTCTCATGATTTTGGAAATGGCTCTCGAAGAGTGGTCCAAAACTGTAGAAGATGACTTTACATATGCTGCAAAAAAATGTCACTGTGCCTGTGTGATTAAGTCGAGAATGCGTCGTTAGATGTTGCAGCAAGTCCTGGAGAGAGTTCGATATCTGCTGACAGCTGACACAGAGTAATTTGGACTTTCTACCTTGCAGTCGGTTTTTGTTGCAGAGCGAGCCATCCACAGAACTCATACAATGCACCTCGTAGCATTCCAAGCCTCGAAATATTGTCTGACAAGTGGTGCACAACAAAACTATTTCGATGTGAATGTTCGATCCCATCGCCTTAATTGTTTCGTTTTTAGGTCTATGACACATACAAATAGTGAAGGATATCTCCGGTCGAAGTTCTAAAGATGGTCCAGCGTCACATATGTTTTCTTTCTCCGCACACTGTGTTTTGCTAACTTCCTTGCTAACTTCGGCGTTATTCGTGGCAAGTGTCGACTGTTCTTCTACATCTTGTTCTTCTATAGTATATTCTGCCACTGGTAAGTTCGAAATTTTGTTTCTTTCTTTGGTTGCATCCTGCTGTGATACCTCTGAACTCACGAGATTCTCCGCACTAGATTCGTTTATATGTTCTGGTTGACTCGTCTCTGGCTCATTGATACCATTTCTAGCTACTTCGACCTCTTCCATGGCTGCTTCTATCGAATTTTTCACCATATCATTTGAGACTTGATCGTTAGTCTTGTTAGACACTGGCGTAGAAATAATATAATTATCGATCGCCGTTTGCATAGTCTGGAAATCGTTATGCATATGCTCTGACATATCCTCAAAAAGTTGTTGATTGGTATTAAAGGACTTTGAACAAATCTTGCATGTTATTTTTGGTTTTACTTTAATATTCGTCGAACTACTAGATTCAACATTATTGGAGTCTGAAATTTTCGCTCCACTTGGTGAATTTCGACCAGATTTTGACTTTATAGCTGATTTAGTTTTCATTTCATTTTTTGACACTTTGAATTGTTCATGGCGCATTTTGATGGCTTTCAATGATGACAAGGAGGAAGAAGAGGATGAACTTTTCATATCGGAATTAACAGATTTATCTAATTGACGTGAGCCACTTTCTCCGTTAACTGAAGAACATTGCTGTTTCGATGTCGACGGTTTCGAGTTCTCCAAATTTTTTTCCTTATTCATAATTTTCAAAAGCGAGGCTTTTATGCATTTTGATGCATAGGCAGATTTAGAATTCACATTCATATGTGTTGTATTAAAATTGTTCCTCAAATGTTTTATCCACATATCGAAATCCTTGAATGACGAGCCACACGCAATGCACTTATGTGATTCCTCTTTTTTGTGTTGTATTGTTTGAAATTGTACAACGCTGCAGTTTTTCGAGGTCTTTGACTTTTCAGATTTGTCATTAGTTGACAATTCAAGATTGGTTGCTTTCTTATGCAATTTCGGTGACATCTCTGATACCTTCTTGTTCGAATTTAAGAAAGCGTCTATTGTAATAACGTCTGTTCCTTTTGCGTTTTTACACGGGTTTTTAGAAACAGTGCCGTCCTTAGATTGAATAAAATCGCTCCTAGAGATGATTTTATCAACATTTGCGTCACTTGAAAGATTTTTACTGCTGATGGATGACTCGGGTTTGGCTGTATCATTACACTCTGTTGGCTTTGTTGAGGTTTTTGTCTGTTTCTTCGGCGAAGTGAATTTTGAAGGAGATCCGACCGGTGTTGTACATTTCATAGAAGACGTAAATGTGGAAGCTGAAGTGATAACACTTTCGCATTCTGCATTCACCGATTTCTTCGACGAGTTCCGCGAAATGGGGACTGTTTCTGATGTTGATTTCGATGTAGAAGCGATTGTCTCTTGTAATTTTTTCGGCGTTATCAATGCACGAAACGCATTTCGCCATATTTCTAAACGCTCCTGTGACAAAGTACTATTCTTCTTTTCGGATATTCTTGGCGATAAAGTTTTACAATGATTTCGAATAGGCTTTCGATGGATCAGGAATGAAGCATTTTCATCGCTGTTTTCTATGGTTTGAACGTCTGCAACAAAAATTGAAATAAAATCATATTAAATAATTATTAAAAATAATCAAATTAGTCTGATTCAAGAATTTTTTAAAAATAAAAATTGTTAAAGGAGAAAGACTACGAGTCAAAGTAATTGCTAATAATTAATCTATATTCAATATCCGATCGCTATGAACATTTAATATACAGACGTTTCAACCTTCATCAGGTTATCTTCAGTGTAACACATAAAAATTAAAATTAAACAATGAAAATAAAAATAAAAAGTCGCAATATCGGTTACATAATAGTTAAATATTTTTAGCAATCGGATATTGAATATAGATTAATTATTAGCAATTAACAACTAGCTTTGACTCGTAGCCTTTCTCTTTAACAATTTTTATTTTTAAATTATTATTATTATTCAAAGTTTTAGGTCAACGAGAATAAATCAATTAAAAGAATTAATTCTATTTTTAGTCAAAGCGGAGATTTTAATGTTTAATAATACTAATATGCAAATTGAAATATATTTCAGCTTCAATTTGAGATTGCGTTTTAAATCCAACAAACCAAAGGGATAATCACTTAATATAATCATTGGGCGGTGTCTTCGAAATCATTATAAAATTCATGTATGAATTTATGATGTGATATGAAATCCTCATGTATAATCCCTGCATATGCAATCACGAGAAATCATTGTGTAATATTAGATAAAATCGTTTATTTTACCAAATAACTTCATATGTAGTGAAGAAAATTATTTGTAATCAGATAAAATCATATGAAATCAAATGAAATCATGTAATCTGTGATATTTCAACTAGTGATTATCCCCTCGCAACAAATCGAATTGGCACGCAGTTCATAAAACTGAAGAAAAAAATTTAGGTATTTGCAAAAATATTAGTATTATTAAACATTCGCTTTGACCGAAAATAGGATTATTTTTCTTAATTTAAAAATAATTATAAAAAGATAAAAGATAAGATTATTTTGAAGAGAAAGTCGTACCTTTTATTGAATTTGTGTCGATGAAGCATGATTTAAGGCTTTCGTTCATACTTTGTTCCTTGGATAAACTAGAGCTTACACCTTGATCTTCCGTACAAGTGGTATTCGCGTCCAATCTGCTTTGTAAGCACATGTGTTTATACGTTGTTAATTTACGAAATGTACTTTTGCAAATTTTGGAATTTATCACAAAGTTTAGGTATTTCTTTGTTAAATATTCGACCTCAGTCGCTGAATATCTATCATCTTTAGGAAAATATTGTAAAGTATCCAGTTTTATTAGTAGAACTCTAGGCTTTTTGAACAGCTTGTGTTTCTTCCGTAGCTTTTTCAACTTTGACCTTACTACACGTCTATCAATACATCTAATGGTCAATGGAGAATCTTTAGAAATATTTTGTGTTTTTTTATTTATTTCCAAAAACTTATCATCTTCTGTTGGCAAAATTAATTTGTCTTGAGAGTGTGAAGCTACCAAATTTTGTGACAACTTCCGTTGGTCCAATTGTTCTATTGATTCAGATGAAATATCTGAAATTTTGCTCTTTCGCCACTTAATAACATCTTCATCTTCCATTTCTTCCAATTTTGTTAAAATAACCTTCGCAGGAGAGCTAAACTGTATACATGTTTTTCTTGCATCAATCTTTTTAAAAGATAAATGAGATTCACTCTGGTTATTATTCTCAATTGCTGTTGTATTATTTACAGTTTCATTTTCACTATCAGATTCTTCCATTAATACTATTCTTCGACGTTTCTTGTTTGGTACACGCTGTTTTTCTGTTTCACTGTCAGATGAATGTTTATCGCTACATGCACTTTTCCTTTTAAATTTCCATTTATTCAGTCTCTTTTCCACTTTTTTAGCCATAAGTTTTAACCTTAAACGAATCAGTTTCTTCATTACCTTTTTATCTTTAGATAAAGGGCTAGTAAGATTGGATTGGTTGCTATGCAAACTCGATTCTGTGTCCTTGCTACTAGATGAAGAATCACAATAATCTATCGCGCTTGAACTACTAGGTATGTTTTTTCGATAAAATTTATATGGTAAAGTACGTGCACATGCATAAGTTACATTGACACACAAATCTTTTTTCTCCGTCTCACACGTAGATAAATTAAAATTTTCAGTCTTATTTTGTGCAACGTTACTTATTCTTTGCTCATTCTGCTGAGCATCTTCATACAATTCTCCTTGATATAATTGGTTATGCAAGTGTGTATCTATTTGTTTATTTCCTCTGTCTTCTGACGATATAACTTCTGTAACAGGTTTCGCATTTCGAAATGCTTGCTGAGAATTCGAAGACTTAGAAGAAGGAACGTTTGATTTCTTTTTTTTAGAAAACTTCCCATTTAACAGACCATATCTCCATCTATTTCTTCTCTTACATTTTATTGATTTTAGTGTTGTTTTTTCTTTTACACTTCGTAAACGTGTAAGTTTTACTGAAATATCTTTAATTAAGATACTGTTCGAATCTTTCTCTTGTATTGGATCCTGCATTAAATCTCTTGTTGCCGTCACGTTCAAACTCGTAGAAGTACTACAACTTGGTCTTACATCAAAGAGTTCTTCGTCGTAGATATCCATCTGCAATTTATTTAATGTGGATTATGAAGCTCATTAAAATATAAAGAGTAACTTGCACGATGTGTTCATCAAATTTTATTTAAAATTACTGAATATAGCAATTTTTACCAAAAATAGATTTTATTCTTTACACATAGACAAAATATTGTTTTCGAATAGATTAAAAGAGGCAAAGAAAGATTTTCTATGTGCTTAAATGGAGTTTAAATTGAATAGTCTACTTTTTATATAACTTTATATTCTCCAATGAATCTTATGTAATTTAATAGTATTTTAATGTATAATAAATCAACCTGACTAAGACTCCTTATAAATCAGAAAACCAGGAAAGAACAAGGGCAATAGGAGTCAAGTGCGGGAGACGTTGTGCAAATAACACGACTATCTAGCGTAAAACTTCTTTATTTTACTAAAGCGCTTACATGTTTCGGCTCATTTTTGAGCCTTCTTCAGAGACAACATAAACTCACATATATAGAATATAACAAATATCAACTAGTCATGGTGAGCTTTCCCATCTCGAGAGTATAAATGCCAGAATTAAATCCAGAAAAGAATGAAATGAAGAAAAAAGGAAAGAAATTTTGGAAATCTCGAAATAAAGAAAATGTAAAACTAATGTATCAAAAAATTTTTGAAATTATAATTAATTATTCCGAAAGTTAGGAAGCTCACCCTGATCACAAGACACCGCATCGCAAACATTACTCTTAATAATTCAAAAACCGGTTTCTGATAAGTTGGCCAGTCAGTGTCAGACACAGTGAGTCTCTTTTTGATTTAGTTGGTCTTTATTGAGAGACAGTAATTAGAAAACTAGCGTTAAAAAATTAATCAAAATCAAGAAAAGAAATTTTGAAAATGATCTAAAGTCAACACCCGACAGACTTCTTCCTGTGTACGAGCGACACTGACTGATTAAGCGCGACAACAATTCGACCTTTTATAGCCTGTCAATGATCGGGAGGTAGGCCTTCGGAAGCCTACTCGCAACGTTATAACGAAGCATCGGTTGCAAGACGGCCATAAGTTCGATTGGGACAACGTTGCAATACTGGACGAGGAACCACACTATCGGAA